AAGTTACTTCATTACCTGATCTATTTAATCTAAAATTCATAGAATCGAATTATGTATCTGACCCCCAGCTGAGCGCTATTCGCGACCTTATTGTTACACAAGATCCTGAAATCCATGAAAAAATCACTGAAATGAACCGCTATTATGCCCAATTCGTTAATGACTTTTCGGTGAAGGAAAATGTAGTTTGGATGGATGACAAATTAGTAATTCCAATTAACCTTCAATCAGCGATTAATAACCGAATCCATGCGTATCACCACGGGAAATCAAATATGTTCGATGCAGCGAAAGATGTTTGGTACCCTTATATTTACCGCTCAATAGCTTCCATTGCCGAAGGGTGCCCCGAATGTACTGCAGCCGGTAAGAATTTAAAAACGATTTTTGGGGCCCCATCAATTACTTAAATGAATCCCGCAAATATGTATTAGTGGCGGTAGATAGGTTTTCTCGTTGGCCATCGGCAATGGTATGTGGAAATAATCGGTCAGATAAGATACTGAAATTCTTGAAGAAGTATATAACAAACCATGGGGTGCCACGGAAAATTCAGGTTGATCAGGGAACTAGTTTCATGTCAAACGAGATTAAAGCTTTTTGTAATGGGGAGGGCATTGAAATTATTAAATCACCAGTAAACGACCATCGAGCAACGGGGTGCGTCGAGCGTACCATTGGCAGTCTGAAAAATTCGATCCTTACCTTCGCTCAAGAAAAGAATCCCGAACCCTTGGAGAAAATGGTTGAACGGGCCCTTGGTGCTCTCAGATTCTCGAAAAATTCAACTCTAAAAATCTCGCCTTTCGAAGCTCACCATGGGAGAGAAGCGAACACAGTTTTACGGAACCTTACTAAGAAGCCATCTCTTCAAAATCTGGATTGGTCACGGGTTATAACAACGAAAAATGCTTGTTTAGATGCCGCCGATCCAAATGCGCAAGACATGCCCCGTTCAGCCAATACAAACTGGAGTGTAAGATCAGACATCGCATACGATATCAAAAACAGGACCCATGCAAGACGTCTTACAGAGGACCAATCCACCAATCAACACGACGAACCGTCGTTACTTAAAAGTGCAAACCCCATTGGACAACCGGGACCATCTGGATTGTTGTTCCAGCGAACTGGGAACCGAAACCTAAAAAGGTATAAACAACTCCACTCTAAAGTAAGATCCGAGAGTACACATACACTAACTTTTGATAATGGGGTTGTGCTTAGGAAATCGGGAGTGGCCACAAAGCCCAAACCAAAGAAATTGAAAGTTGCCGCTAAACCCGTATTACCGGTACCCTCGAGTGAAGTAAACAAGCGAGCAACTCAACCAGTGTTACCACCGCCAACTCCGCGCGCAGTTAAAGATCGTTTGACAAAACGACTTGCGGAACAACAACGGGGAAGAATCGGGCGAAGATTAGAAAATAGTGGCTCGGAATCGGAAGACAGCGAAGACTTGCCGATTATCTCGGTAAAACGGACTAAGCAGCCATTAACTACCACCCCCGATGAACCTATAGAGCGATCAGCAACAGCAATAACAGAAGTCGATGTTGGAAGTGACCAGGACACCATTCCGGCACGGGGCGGTGAGTTGGATCATCATCATCCAAGGGACCAAGGAACGTCCAATCCAGGGGACCAGTCGAAGTCTACCAATAGTAAGAAGAAGGGAGCCTCATCAAAGAAAGCCAGGCTGGTTTTATACAGCAGCCAGGGGGATAGCCAGGACGAGACCTCATCCACGACGTCTAGAAGAAGTTCTTTTCAACCATTCATGATCAATCATTTCAGTCATTTAAAATCAACAGGTGAAATCATTTCTATTCAACTAAAGTTTCATTATCGAAGGAAAAGCGTTGTATTGAGTAATTTAGTTCATTTCGGAAGCTGTCAATCAAATGTTCACTCTCGGTGCTAGACTAATTGATTAGCAGGTGTTTGTCCTTGAAACAGTCTGTCACCTTTGGATTGTGTCATCTCGGAAGCTGTCAATCAAATGTTCACTCTCGGTGCTAGACTAATTGATTAGCAGGTGTTTGTCCTTGGAACAGTCTGTCACCCTTGGATTGTGTTCTCAACCACTCTCTATGCTAACTTTGTAAGATTAAGTTGACTATCTCTTGTATCGGAATTCACAATTAGAAGACTACCGTTTTACTATCTCGACATGGCGCAGTCAGCAGTCTCAGGTGGGGGAAAGAATCCACTGGGCATCACGGGATTTTGGCCAGCGAAATGCACGGAACCGCCAATGATGTGGGAATTTTGAATTAACAGATTCCAATGGGGAATGGTCGCCAAGCATTCACTAAACCCGAAGAACTTCTACTACGCCGACACTCTCTCAGCTGCTCAAGTTACTGCCTTGCCCGAGGAAGTAGATGGGAAAAATCGACTGGAATCGGAACAAGTGCTGATTTCGAATCTGTATTTGTGTCTGGGGGAAAAAGGGCAGGACGAACTTCACAAAAGACGACCGCATCTGGATCTCTCGGCGATTCGTTACCCACGAATGTTAGACGCACTGGAAACGGAATTCAAGAAAGAAAGAAATGAGACATATGAGACATACCGACACGAGAGGGGAAACAAGTATGCATCATCATATGTTGCCACGGGATCAGTGGGGGCCCAAGGATCGACATCATGTTTGCTCGTTTTTCACCAGCTTTGCGATCGTAATTGAATTAAAACACAAATGAAGACCTTCACACAAATGAAGAGGAAATCACTTCTTTTACGACTAAAAAAATATTCAAGCATCATTCAAAACAATTTAGGATCGGATACAGCTGCTGCCATTTAAGGATCAATTGTTCAACCTGAACAAAATGCAGGAACTCAAAAACTCAATTGTATTATATACAACAGATAATTGGTTGGAAAAGTGTTACTGAACAAGAAAACAGAGAAAAATTGACCGATTTGTTTCAAATTTGCTGCATTCCAAAGGAAAAAATCATTACACCTACAGTTTTTCAAATTCCATGAAAAATCAATGATTGACGTTTTTGACACAAAATTGAAGCAGAGCTTCATACCACTTGCGATACAGCGCAATCAGAAAAAAAAGTATCGAAAAAAAGATGAAAAAAGTTGAACAAAACTAGGTGAACCAAACTTTCGTATGTCTCGATGAAGGACACCAGAATTTCAAAAAAGGGTGATTTGGAATAACGATTTGTTTCACAATTGCAATATTTCTAGGGAAAAACTCATTACATTTACAGCTCTTCAGGTTTTAAGAAAAATTAATGAATGAATTTTTTTTGATGAAAGTAATCAAACTTGAAAAAACTAGGCCAAAAGATAAATTTCTTTTACACTGAAAATAGCGGTATTAGGGCATTCGATCTCCTGCCCACCAAAAAAACGCCATTTTGTACTATTTACGAATATCCATTTTTAGCCGAATTTTGGGCTGAAATATGTGCTTATTTTCAGGAGATCGCACCAGATAAACATTTTTTTTTCAATTTTCAACACTGTCTTAAGAGTAGATAACCGTCCTGTTGGCCTGCTTTTTCAAAACTTTGCTTGCGCGCTTGTCACCGGGAAATCTAAGAATTAAATACCACTGTGAAGTTTAAAGTAATTCACAATTTTTTGCGCTATGTTTGTTATTGTTAATATTCAAGAGATTGATTTGCCTTCTCGTCAGGAAAAGAATAAAACTTACCAACTAACCATCTCGAACTTTGAATCTTAATACGTGTCAAAACCTGTGACTTATTTTAATACACGTGAAATTCTATCCCCTATTTTAATACATAGCTTGGAGAACGGAAGGCTATAGTCTATCTTAATACATAGACACACCCCCCCCCCCCTGATTGCTACTAACATATACTATTAACTTCAACTATCTCAATTTCAAGAACTGCTCATGTTAAATCTTTTTTCTTTATTTTAACCCAATTTAAGAAAAAATGATCAATGAGTATTTTTTAATCTACTGAAAATCTCGATATTAAAATCCCCTTTCAAATTAAAAATCAAACATGCTCACTGTTTCGCACCAATTATGCATTCGTTATTGGATTTAAAAACAAATCAAAACTTGCAAATGAAAATCATTTCTTTCATTTACGACTTAAGCAATTCAAGAAGCATTGAATGTAATTAAGGGATCGGATATAGCTCGTGCTGTTTAGGAACCAATGCCCAACTAAAACAGTACGTAGAAACTAAAAAAGGAACAAAAATTTATGATTTACACCGGAAAAAGGTTTTGTATTATATAAGACAGACAGTTGGAAAAGTGTTACTGAACAAGGAAGCAGAGTAATAATGACCGATTTGTTTCAAACTTGCAGCATTCCAAAAGCATTATTACATTTACATCTATCCGATATTCAAGAAAACTATTTTTTGCAGCCTTCTTACGTTTACATTTCTTCGAATTTCAAGAAAATTGAATGAAATAGTACCAACAAACTCAATGAAATGGTACTATGTAAGGACATCCAATTTTACTTGAACCTTGGGCTTAATTATGTGTTAATTTTGAGGAGCGCACGTCAGAAGAACATCAAGTTTTTTTTCCTATTTCCGAATGTACAAAAATCGTTTAAAAGCGTCCTTTCTGGCCTATTTTTTCTAAATTTTGCCTGCGCCCTAGGAAATCTAAATACTAAATTCCACTTTGAGTTTTAGAGGCATTCACGTTTTTTGCGCTACGTTTGGTAATATTGAAGAGAGTGATTTGCCTCCTCAGCAAAAACAAGCAAGGAACTTTACAAGAAATCAACTTCTGAATCTCTAAGGTACAATTTTGAGCACCATAAAATTATAATTTTTCACCAAAAAGAAACCGCGTGACTTAAACGAAGGAAAAATTACTGCATTCAATTACACTTAACACGTGAAGCGACAATTTTTAAAAGGCGACAATTCGTACCCGGCAAAAATTCGCAACAAGCCGTAATGCGTAATAATAATTTAAGGGGCAAACACTTATTTATGCGCACTATTCCTCTCGCTCCGAAATCTAAGCGCAGCGGAGCAAGCCTGTTTTTCTTGCCAATTCCTTGTTACGAATTCTCGCTTGTTACGATTTGACGCCTATTACGAATTGTCGCCCTACCCACTAGACTATTGCAAGCTAGACTATTGCAAACTAATGAATGATGTCACTTGCGTTTAATTTCAAATGAACTTCATCGCATCGTTTCTGGCTACGGCATAGCTTATTTCGTCATAATAACAATAATTGCCCAACTGGTCGCATTCATCTCGTTCTTTATTATTTTTCTCTTTCTTGAACGTTTAATTTCATCTTCCAAACTGATCACCTCATTTGTATCGGTTTTTTTTAAACGAATCGCAAAACATTAATTAAACACAAAACATTTTCAGCAACCAAAGATTGATGGACAACATAATACTTACTTGTTCATTGTATCTATAGTTAAATCATTTTTTCAATCTACATCACAGCAGGAGAAACTTCTTTGCAATTAACCAGTCTAATTGTCAAATCAATCTATGGTATAATATTCATCTGAGATACAGTTTTTTTTTTTTTTGGATTTTATCTCGTTTATCGGATCGTCACCAAACTAAGTTTATTTTGGTAGTCTGCAATGGTCGGGTACTTTAAATTAAAATAACCAGTCCGCTTAGGTCTACAATCATCGGGGACCATGTCCCTGTGGGTTCGTTGGGCTGTACTGCGGGTCGCTTGGGCTGTATCTCGGCGCTCCTCCTCTTGATGCTATAGGTTGCAAATCATTAACCGAAGTGTCCATTCCTGGTCCAGATGGCGAAGCTGGTGAATAATCCGGAGAGTCAGGAGAGTATCGTGGACTCTCCGGTGAGTGTCCCGGTGACATCGGTGAGTATGCAGGAGTAGACGGAGAGTAATGGTTTGTCGGGTCTCCAGTCGGCGACTGAGGCGAATACTGCGGACTCGTTGGAGAGTATCTTTGGACGTTGCGTTGTGATGACGGCCCTGGTGCTTCCGCATACGCCGGCGACTGGGGTGAAATTGCATTCGGGCTTGTCGGTGAATATCTAGGACTCGTAGGAGAATATCGAGGACTAGTAGGCGAATACTTAGGAGTCGAGGGACTGTATTTGGGAGTAGTCGGTGAATACTTCGGTGAAGCAGGCGAGTAGTTTGGCGACTTGGGCGAGTAATCTGGTGTCGATGGTGAATAAGCTGGAGTAGAGGGACTGTAAGTCGGGGTTGTCGGCGAGTACCCGACAGCCGGTGACTTCGGGCTATAAGCTGGACTGGACGGCGAATATTTAGGACTCGAAGGAGAATAGTTCGGCGAAGTCGGCGAATACCTTGGACTTGACGGCGAATAATTAGAACTCGCAGTTGGTCCTCCCGGGCTATAGCTCGGCGAAGTTGGACTGTAACTCGGGGAAGTTGGTGAGTAGCTGGGACTCGTCGGTGAATACTTCGGAGTTGTCGGACTATAACTTGGACTCGATGGCGAGTAAGAGGGCGATGTTGGAGAATAACTTGGAGATGTTGGTGAATACGATGGCGACATCGCATTATACGACGGAGAAGTGGGCGAGTAGCTAGGACTTGATGGCGAATAATTAGGAGATGTTGGAGAGTATCCAGCCGGAGATTTTCCAAAACTCGGCGAAGTCGGCGAGTAAGACGGGCTTGTTGGGCTGTAACTCGGAGAGTGCGAGTAGTTCGGGCTCGTAGGAGAATACTTCGGCGATGTAGGCGAATAACCTGCTGCACTTGGCGAGTAGTTAGGAGAAGTCGGGCTGTAGCGAGCACTCTGGCTTGGACTATAGCCAGGACTAGTGGGAGAGTAACTAGGACTCGTAGGACTGTACCCGGGAGACGTCGGGCTATAATTTCGAGATGTTGGACTGTAGTTCGGCGATGTCGGACTATAGTTTGGAGAAGTTGGCGAGTAACTCGGACTCGTTGGGCTATAGCCAGGACTTGTCGGTGAGTAGCCTGGACTCTGCGGAGAGTATCCAGGACTAGTTGGCGAATAGCTGGGACTGCCGGCGTATCCAGGACTAGTCGGGGAATACTTCGGGCTGGTTGGCGAATAACCAGGAGACGATCCAGGGAAGCCAGGACTGCTGGGTGACATCGGTGACATTTGGGGTACCGACGGACTCGTTGGACTAGAAAAAAAACGCTTGAACAAAAAAAAATGTTACAGCTTTAAGCAGCATTGAAGGAATCGATTTTTTTAACCTAAATGCAAATATCAATGCAAAGTAACCTATAAGACGGTGAGTCTCCAGGAGAAGGAATGTAGGGACTCCCAGGTGATGCTGGTGAAGCAGCTCCGGGTGAAAACGGACTGTATCCAGGACTGAATCCACTGAATTCCGAAGCTGCCGATGGAGAAAATCCGGCGGCTCCTGGAGTCATGCCACTTCCGAATTGTGGAGAGAAGGGCCCAGTTCCATCATACAGAGGCGTGGCACCAGTCGCCCAAGGAGTCATTGCACTGCTGGGAGATCCGGCCAACATTCCGGAGAAATGGCTGCCCATTGCACCGCCTTGATTTAAAAAAAAAACATTCAAGAAAAGACAGAAATTGTTTTCCCCCATAATTTCATCTCTTCTAGTCCAAAGCCGCATACAATGACCTCAACGGTGCCAATTTAATCCCCAGTTATTTTTTTTTCAGCCACAATGATCGTGAAATTATAGTGAAAAAAAAACGTGCAGGTACCTAGTACAGGTATCTCCATGCCCTGTTTGCACTGTTCCGGGTCTAGGATGAGATCGAAGGATCCAGTGCCGATTGGAGCTAGCTGGCCCAACATGATGTTCTCACTCACTCCCCTCACCATGTCCACCTCACAATGGGCGGCCGCATCCATCAACACGTCCACCTGAACATACACATATATTAGAAGTCTGTACCATGTTGTCGAAATCTCTCAGCATGCCATCCATCAACACAGTTTCAGCTTCTTCATCGAAACTAGAGGTTTTGCAAAGGTAAACGCACTAAATTTGAAAAGATAAAACGCAAAAGCCGAAATGACCGGCGTATGTTCATTAATATATGCTACTTTGAGAACATTGCCCCGAAATTTGCCCAAATCACAGCTCGTTCGAGATGCAAGTTGAAACAATAGCTTCACATGGGATTGTACGCTCATTTTTCACGCAGTATTAGGGTCGATTCCCCGAATAATTTTTGGGTGTTGGAATGAAAAGAGGTTCAATCAAATCGAAATAGCTAACCGTCTCCTCGAATGAGCACCTCATGAGTGCCCCCACATCCTGCCTGTTGATTCCATGTCTCGTGATGGCCATCAGATGTCCCCTCTGAGTCATGATGTCGCACAGGAGGGCCAAGTGTCTGTGGTTGACATAAGATCCGTCAAATGAGATCACGTGGAACATCTCTTTCTCAATCGACTTGCGCACTGCTTCCACTCCAAGCACCTATTGCAAAATCTAATGTTCAGTCAGCCAGCATGTATCTCTTCCAATAGACATTGAGGTTTTTAACATTTGTTTCCTTGATTTGTTGTGGGTGCTAACCGAGAATATCTCGCAGATGTCGTTGGATGTGCTCCTGCTAGGGTCGACGTCTTTGTCGGAGAGCACTTTGAGCAGAGCCACTCCGTCTGTCTCCAACATCCACTCTTGTATACTCTTGATCTCTCCTATCTCATTAATCACTGTTTTCTTCTTGTCATCTGTTGTCGGCAAGTGCATGTATACCTGCGAAAAAATCAACTTATAAAAGCCGACGCTAAGAACTCATACCATATCATAGAGTAATATTTTCAAGTATCCATTTCCAATCGAGCGATTCGTTACTAATACTGCCTTCGACACAAAAAGTACTCAAATTTATGCCTCAAACACCTATAGATGACTTAAATTTGAAATCGGCGTATTCGAAAACTTGTTCATTTAGTGAGAAAAGGGCTCAAGGTGATAAACAACGCCAAGCCCGAAAACAAAAAATATATACTAAATACAATGTTTAAAAAAAAGAGTCTTGCCTTGGAGATGGCCTCTATGCCCTGGAGTGTCATGTCGGTGAGTAGCTTGGACTCTATGCACCTCAAGAATGTGTCATCCTCCATCTTGTCAATCTGTTCCTCTTGCTATAATAGACAAATTCCAGTTTATATCTCAAGACTTTTTCACTATCAGTTCGTCTACTCATGAGGTTTAGGAGCTTGCTTTTTGGAACCATCAAAGGTGAAACCAAAGCTGTTTTCGTTCTTTCGAAACTGGCTAACTTCTCGTAGGAGCAAAAAGCTGACCGAATTATTGTACATATCTAGATATTAAATTCTGCTTCTAGAAAAGTACCTCTGATTTAGACTCGCTGTTGTTTACAATTCTGATTCTCAGCACCAATTTATCTGCGTTGTCATCGTTGAAGATACAATTGAGGTCATCTCCAAATCCGTAGTTGATCTTCTCTGCAATCTGTTCCATCGTCATTTTCTTGTCTGTCATCTTCTTTCTGTCCAGTTCAATTCGCAGCAGCCAGGGAGATAACCTGGAACCATACAAAATGTTTAAAACTGTTTAGATAAATCTTAGTCTTAACACTATTATATTCAATAATCATTGCACATAGTTCATGTCATTTGCAAAACCAGTAAATCAAATTAACTTTATCAGCTTCAAGGTCTTGTAATAATCGATACGTTGGCGCCGACAATTCCCTACATTCAGCAGAGCACGCGCAAAAAAAACATAGCCGACTGACAGTTGGAAAAGAGTAATAAACGCAAGGAAATTGAAAAAAAAACTGACTTGTTTTTTCAAAAAACTTTTGAATTTCGAAAAAAATAGATGAATACTAAGCTCTTTGAATTTGTAGAAAAATAAATTTATGACGGACCATTTTTTGCTAAAATTAACCCAATTTGAGAAAACTGGATAAATAGGCATAACTTTTATTTCGCTGGGAAATCTGATAATTAATTTCCATTTTTGAAATTAGAAGTCGATCACGTTTTTAGTGACCTTTACAATTTTGCTGTTCGAAAGTGGAGTTTTCGTTCCTTTCAATAATAGAAATGCACTGAATTTAAAAAGAAATTACAAGTCAAACCGCGAAAAATCAAAATTGAGCGTGAACAAATTTGAAGACTTTTTCCAGGAGAAAAAAAACAAAAAAAAATCAGCAAGGCCTATATAAGAGTACTCAATACGTTCATTACTCTTTATCACAATAACCATTGCACACAGTTCATGTCATTTGCAAAACCATTAAATCAAATTAATTTTATCAGCTTCAAGATCTTGTAATACTCGATACGTTGGCGCCAACAATTCCCTACATCGAAAAGAGCACGCGCTAAAAAAATAACTATTTGGTCATAATTCTCCAAAAAGTGACCAAAAGCGGTATTTTTGCACAATATCTTTAAAAAATCAGCTATTGCAAAACAGGGTCTTTCAAGTAGTTTAAGTGCTCGGAAAATCAAGTGGGCTCCTAATAAAAAGACTAATTTTGGAAAAAATGAAAATCTCCTCCCTCGCAAAAAAACCTAGATACTCGCAAAATTGAAACAAGCATGGTAGAGCAGACATTTTTCCAAAAACATTTCATTATTTCAAAAATTGATGAACATTTCAAATGATATTTTTCGTTAACATATATCAAACACACAACGTTTTTTTGATATATGTTAATATAGTTGGTATCTAACCTCTCTGGGTCGAATCCAGGCATCTCATAATAGATGCTCACCCAGTCCTGGTCCTCCTCAATGCAGGTGTTGGCCGGATCTGGATCGTAATAGATTGCAGTGTTGGCTGTCACTCTTCGTAAAGTAGTGTACTCCAGACGACAGAGCACGTCCTAAAATACTCTTTTCATTCAAGTTGAACAATCACACTCACAATCGCTTTCAAGGCACTTTCCAATAATGTTTCAAATTTGTGGAAAATGGGGGTTTCAGTTCAGTTCTTACAACATTTTAAATACTTTTAACTAGCATAACGATTTTTCAAAATCTCTTTCGACTAGTTAACCGACGCATCGAATCACATGAAAAACAAATAATTTTTATCTTCGAGACATCTATTAACTAACCTTGCACTTCTCAGCATCTCTAGCCGGTGCCCCATGCAAATACACCGTCAAGGAAGGCGTCTTCGGTTTCTTGCTCACATTAATGATTTCCTTCAGCCGAGGCACTCCCAACGTCACGTTCTTAGCTGACACTCCCGCAAAATGGAAAGTGTTCAGGGTCATCTGAGTAGCCGGTTCTCCCAGTGACTGGGCAGCCAGAGCTCCCACCATCTCGCCGGGTGTTGCCATTGCCAGATTAAACCTAGTTTCAATCTCACCAATCAGCCAATCAAAAGCCTCTGACGTTAGTCTATGCTGGAACGCCACTTTATTACTGGACAAGAATGACCTCAAATGACATTGCATCAATAAAGTCGCATTAGCCTGTGCTTCAACGCTCAATCTGTCTTCTCCTTTCACTATCACAAGTCGCTTGCACAAATTTGACACATCTTGAACGACTTTGATTGGACTCAAATCTGACGCTTGTCGCAAGTCAACGTGGAACAATTTCTGGGCGTTCCAAACAAGTCGGGCCAAATTACACGGAAGTACCACTTTGCTCGTAGGTTTTTCAAAAATTTGTCTCAACAGGCGCCAGTCATTACTGATTTGTTCAAATTCTTGGTCCAATACTTGCTGTGAGCTGGCGTTGGAGCACACGTCACGTACAACTGTATCGTTTAGAGCACGTTTCATTGACCTAAAAATGAACAAACTGTAGTTTTGTTCATTTGTTTTTAATTAAAAAATCATACTCCGAAAAACAATTTACGCTACCCGGAAAGCAGTGTATTTAGCGTCAATACTCAATCAAGAAAACTAAAAAAACGAAAAGTACAGCATATAAATTCAGTTCTGACCTCTCATTGTTGTAGTCGAATTTGAATCTTTTCTCCAGGTTCGGTCTTGAGAGGGTGATGGACTGGAGGTTCTGAAACTCCACCATCTCTCCAGCCAGACCATCCTCCCCATATCTGAACTGGATGAGGTTGTTGTTACTGTTGCGCACTGTACCGTCATAGCATACCTGGGTCAAACACAACACATTTACACATTGAGACGCTTTTATTTTCAATTTTCTCTTCAGTTGCGAACAAGGTTTTAAAAACTCAGACAGGATTTAATTCAAATGTATTTAAGCTGAAATTAACATATTTAAACATCCTAGCGTGTCCTTTTGGATCAATTAGCTAAGTTGCGACTGAATACTATTGTTAAAATCGAATTGCACAATTGTCACCTTGAAAAAAGAATTTTTGATATTAATATCATAATTACAAAGCCAAATTACTTGTTTTAATCTTCGATCAACTGGAAGTTGAATGTGCTAAGTAAAATACCACGTACCTTCAACGACTCCATGGCCTTGATAAGGCGTCTCTGGATGTATCCAGTTTCTGCTGTTTTCACCGCAGTATCAATCAAACCTTCTCGTCCTCCCATGGCGTGGAAATAAAACTCACTCGGTGTGAGTCCTGCCAGGTACGAATTCTCCACAAAGCCTTTCGACTCCGGACCGTAATCATCTTTGATAAAATGAGGCAGAGTCCTCTTTCTCAGGCCAAACGGGATACGCTTTCCTTCTACGTTCTGCTGTCCCACACAAGCGATGACCTGAGAGATGTTAATTTTAGATCCCTTGGCGCCTGCCACCACCATGGATTTGAAGTTATTGAACTCGCTCAAACTTTTCTGTGCACATCCTCCCGTTTTGTCACGGGCATCATTTAGCACTCTGTTAACTCTGTTTTCAAACGTCTGTCTCAGAGTGTTTCCTGGAGTCGGCTCCAATTCATCATTATGTGCCAATTCAATAATGTTTATCACCTCTTCTTTGGCTTTCTTAATCGTCTGCTGGATCTCGTTATAAGTAGAGGAGTCTGCAATACAATCTCCAATTCCAATCGAAGCACCTTCGATTAATAAAAAGTTGTTGACCAATTTTTGCACGTTACTCAAGAAGTCACGCACTGCAATATGTCCGCTCTCAAGTGCAATTAGATGGACCAGAGATCCGGCACTGGCTCCCAGAGTTTTCTTACATACAATTCCACTAATGAGGTCACCGTTCTCAATCAAAACCTACAAAATAGACATCGATACCAGTGAACATCTGAATACCGTTCGAAAAGTGTGAATACTTTCACGGCAACCAACAAGCGCTAGAAAAATTTCAACATAATTCATAAAAACAAAAAAAAACTACGATCCGATTACAATCCACAATTTTCTAAATAAGTAGATCTCACTTCTTTGTTGATAAACACTTGAGAAGAAAAATTGTGTCGCAAATCAAACTGGAATAAAACACAACAAACCTAACTGACTAATTTTTATATGAATCTGATTTTTGAAACATCTGAAAGACTGTCTTACTTTTGTATCTCCTGGCGATATGTGTTTATATGGCCCGCTGTCTTCCGTGTCCGGATGTGTAAAATGAGCCCTGATACAATTCACTCCTTCCGGAATGACCAGTGAAAACAACTGCTTGCCAGTCCAGAGCGGCTTCGGCTTGTAAATAGTAGGGGGTGGTAACTTGCCATCCCAACTGCTAATCCACATAAGCAAATTCATGACTTGCGACTTCTCCAAAAATACATCTCGTTTTGTCATTTTCCTTACAGACGTCAGCGAGTCCTGCACAATACCCATTACAGGTCTGTTAGACTGCGGCGTAATTATCATTCTTTCCACTTTACACAGTTGGGAGATTTCAGCTTTCGTTTCGACTGACTGTGGCACGTGTAAATTCATTTCATCTCCGTCGAAATCCGCATTGTACGGTGTCGTCACACTTAGATTCATTCTGAAGGTCGACCATGGTAGTACTTTCACTCTGTGACACATCATTGACATTTTATGCAGAGTGGGTTGTCGGTTGAACACAATGACGTCATCGTCTAGCACGTGACGTTCCACTTTGTAGCCCACTTGGAGTCTGAGGTCGGAGGTTCTCGGGTGGTATCTCAAGTCAATTCTGTCTCCGTTGTCCATGATGACGTACTTGGCACCTGGATACTGGTTAGCACCCCTCGAGACATACTCTTGCATTCTAAAAAAGAACTGCACATTGATTACATGGCACAAAAGACACTTCGGTTTATATCATTGAAAACATTTCGACGTAAAATTTTTGCCGATGGACCCTTAGAATGGTCCTCAACAGACAAACACGGGCATGAAAAGAAAAACAAATTTTCATTAAACAGTAGCGGCTTAAACTTTTTTGAACGCTGAATGGTGTCTCAATAACAGTGATCGAAACTGCAAAAGCTTTCAAACAATTTGAAAGCCCAGCTCCCCCAATCTTCTATTTTGTTCTGATATGATAACACTGGAAGCACACGATGACTAAAAGAAGCACACGATGACTAAAAGAATGGCCATGTAATGTATCATGAAAACTAACTTGTCAATATTAAACGGCGTCACCAATTCCGGGTAGGTCAAGTTAGTCGCTATGGACCTGGGCACTCCCACCTGATCAATCAACAAATTGGGATCTGCAGTGATCACAGTACGTGCTGAAAAATCTACCCGCTTTCCCATCAGATTTCCTCTGATTCGACCTTCTTTACTCTTCAGGCGCTGTTTTATAGACTTCAGAGGTCGGCCTGATTTCTGAGTAGCTCTTGGGAGTCCTGGTATCTCGTTATCTGTCAGCGTCGCTACATGGTACTGCAACAACTTCACATTTTCAGCTAGAATATGAGAAGCGATTCCGTTTTGTTCGTTTCGGATAATTTCGTTGTTAATTTTGAGGATGTCTGCCAATTTGTGGGTCAAATCGTCTTGAGACTTGGCTGAACCAAAGAGCGATACCGCTGGACGCACTGCCAGTGGCGGAACTGGCAGAACCGTGATCAGCATCCAGTCAGGACGAGCAAATCTAGGATTCATCCCTAAAAATAGACATTGTCTTCAAAAAATAATCCATAATCTTATCAATGATCGCTACACAACAAATCAAAGTTCTATTAATTACATAACCAAAAGACGAAAAAAACTTAGCAGGATATATCTTCCCTTACATAACCTTGAATAATTTTCTAAGTAATTCACACAATTTTGGAACAAAAAATGTGGCTACCTTCGAGTGTTCAACAAATGGAGAGCCAGGAATTTTCATTAAAAGTCTCCACATAACCAGTTATTATTAAGTTAAGTTGGAAAAGTAACTGAATCATGACTTCCAACCTATTATGTCGGAGTCCTCGTCCGATATCTTCTTGAACATCTCATGTACAATAGCGGCTGTGAGTGGGATCTTCTTCTCTTGGGTCTCTTCATTGATCACCTTCCACTCTGCTGTCAACTCGAGTCCCTGTCTTCTTATCTTCGGCTGGTGACGACCACAGCCTCCTGGTGCCTGGAACATAAAGCAGTTGAGCTTCCCGGTTTGTGGCAGTGGGCAAGCCGCGCTTAAAATTAGCCACAATTACACATTAAAAATTCAATCGCAAACTTTGAGAAAAATGCCGTAAGTCTTTCGCTTTGTTGTTCCGACCATTTAAAAACGGGTAGGAACTTTGTATTCGGGTGTGTTTCAGTTTTTTCCATGCAAAATCAGTCAACACAAATAATCATCAGAATGGTCCGAGTGATATATCACATTAAAGCCCTTTTAGTCGTTATTCGAACGACCTTTGAAAATTTTCATAAAGCTGTCCCAATATTGAGAAAAACAGATTTGAAATTTGTGATTTTTAACTGGTTAGTGGAAACATTCAAAAAACTGCAACATGAAAAAATTTGGAAAATTTTCTTATTCTTTTTGTTTTTCTAGTCATTTTTCTACCAAAACTTGTTGCCCAAATCGTTTAGTTTACTATGGCTATGACTTTCGAATATGCCTAAGCTCTAGTTTTTCGTTCTCACACTACGCAGAAATTTGAAAAAAAAACTTTTTAGTTGCATTTACTTAAGACTTTTGTGCTACTTAACCAGTAACCGGCTATCCTTGTTTTGAAATTGACTTTTTCCACCTTCTCACGCAAGGTAGTAGAAAACCTCGATCTAACGGGGCTAGGTAAGACGACAAGAAATTAAGAGAATATGACTTAAAGACGACAAATGGGAGTTAAGACATGTTTGAAATACAATTGGAGAATTCGTGTGCAGCGTAGTCTTTAATTCCTACCAAAAGCGGATGTCGTCGTAACAGCTGTCATCTTATTTACGGGACACCCGATCTATCGCAGTGAACTAATAATTAGCCTGGCGAAATCAATTTATGCAAACATCAATTCTATTCTGGGATTATTTAAACTTTTTAAATCTATCACAATTCAAGCTTCCACAAAAAATCTGTCGAAATTTGATTACAGAAATTCAGCGTCAACCCTCAAGCCAGCTAATGAAAGCTTCAAAATGAACTATTTAGCCAAAATAAAAAACCAAGACGACATTTTCTCAGAGTTGGAAACCTGTTTGAATATTAGAATAAATCATATATGCCACATGCTTCTCTGACACTTGATTGAACCATGTCGCTAAAAAGTAGCAGGAAAACCGACAGCAGGTTTGTTGTTAAGTATTTATAAGACGGTTGGCCAAAGTAATTGACTAGTAATACGACGACACAATCTCCACCAAGAAAAACACAGCATAAAGGTTAACTTTCAACCATTTCACCTGTTTGTTTTTGATAGTCTTTGCAGTTATGGGCAATTACAAATGCTCGTTTGCAACCGCAATTGCACACAATGGATCGACTTTTGTTGCTAAATCGCTTAAATAAGACAAAAGAAAGCATTCCGAAACTTGAAAGCCCCTAAAAATTAAATAATTAAACCAAAATAGATTTTATTACCTTATGTTAAGATCAAGTCAACGTTGATATTATAAATTGCACAGAAAGTTTATTGAAACAGGAAATTTTACAAATCAATTAAATTGAGTATGCCACCTCTTCCCCTGCTTTTAGAGTCGCTACTTTTAACAGCCACACATTCTTATAATTCTCTCAAAATTAAACGTTCACTGAAAAAATGTCTATTTCCCGATCACAAGACACCTCCTCTTGCATCTTAAATGAAGAACTTTTGAACAAACTAAAAAAATTTACAAGATCAACATCAACTGCGACTTTCGATTATAAATGGAAGAACAATATCACCAGTACACAATTTTTTTGACTTTCAGAATTATGCTGAGAGAACAATTTGGTCTTCAGATCGAATGAAAAGCCGTTAGCAATGACAACTTAGCTAACAGACAGTTTGTACAATGTAAATGAACAATGAAACCATAAATTTAACTCCGAAGAAAAAACTTTGTAAACGATGATGAGCCTTGAATTGGTCTTTTGAACTAAAACAAAATCAATGGAAGAAAATAGGTTTAAAAGCATTTTTTAAAGCAACTCTCTTCAAATCACCCCATTTGTTCACATTGTCTGATTGTTACGAAACCTGACATGCGGACAAATAAGACCATCACAAACATGTCTTCCTAATTAACCTTTTAAAACCACTCGTTATACCTTACAATTGATACGTTGAAAATTAAAAGGATCCCGAATTTCGGCACTTTTTCCGGCCATTAGCAGCAGTTCTATTATCGGAAAGCATAATTTACCTTACATTTCACAAACCGTTTCGCAAATTATTAAAACGAAATCTAACTCAATCTACCAAAATGTAAACGTAGAACTGATAGCATTAACTAAACTCTTAGCATTTAAAAAATCTTGGCTCCGTGTTATTGACATAGTTATGCTTTAAAACTTTAATTTAAGGGAAATGGGTTATAGTTGAACCTTTTACTGTACCATGTAATTTTTTTTTCAATTTCGCAAATGAATTATAATTGATCTCGCAAAAGCAAACATCCAAAACTGTGCCTGAAATGACGCATGTTCCTGCGACTTATATAAACTCACTTTACGCATAAATATCATTACCGCGTAACTACCGTTACTACAAAAAACCAACATTGAACTTCACCTGGATCCGAAAAAAAAAACAATATTTGGTGTCAAAACGCAAGCAGAAATATTTTCCAAAACCAATGGTCAAATTTGTAAACAAGACAGCCAACAGACAGTTGGAAGAGTCAATGAACGTAATTAAAGTGAGAAATGAAACTCCACTTTCCAAACTAGAAGTTGATCTCTTCGTAACCTTTTAACACTTTTACTGTTTGATCGACGAGTTTTACACAAGTGAGCAGACCTGAATTTTAAATCGAAACAGAAATATCAAATTTGAGCGTGAACAAAAATTATACAGAAAAAAATTATCATAACCTAGTCCTCATAGTTCGATTCATTTACATAAACCAGCTTGAAGCATCAAAAAAACTTTCCATCTGCCGGAATCGCACCGCCGACCTGGATTTTACAGCGAGAACGGCAAAAATTAGCTTCGAAAAATATTCAAATATGCGCTTTAAATACGCACAATAGGTTATAAATTGTTATTCATATTAGCTAAAGTATCAGCAATGAAAGCTAGGGTACTTCTGTTCCATTACGCCATAACATCCCACGCCAATCAGGTGAAAATAAAGCAAGTATTTTGGAGAGCTTAAAATCTTTCATCAGCGCCTGAATGTAGCACACATGTTCCAAGAACAATAACCATTTCACCAAGGAATTTTCATTATTTTTCTGTATGGGGAGACTATGCGGTTACTCGACGTCAGTAAAAAAAACATTAAAATCATGGAAAATTTCCGCTTTAGAGCTACAATTGAAAATTAAGTGATTTTTACACAGGCGATGCAGCACTGCGCAAACACAAGCAAGAAAACGAAAAAGCAGATCTAGAAAGTAAATCAAGAAAAGTAAAGTTAATATTGGCAATTTCGATGACTTTGGTAAATTTGATCGTTCCAAAAATAATAGCATTTTAGGTTAATTGGTTCATCGTAAACAGTTATCACATGAAAATCAGCGAACGCGACGTCAAAATGAGCAGTTTTAGGATCGGATTTCAAATTGGTTGACCGAAAATAAACCTTAAATTAAAATAAAATGAAAACAAATCACCGAGTGATGAAACTTGCCTGCCGAATTCGAGACTCATTTTGTCGCATCTGCGCAAAAAGCTCATATTTTCAAAAACTAGCCACCAAAAACACTAGCTGCAGATACCAATCAATTGCCGTTAACCTTAACTTTCCGTTGTTTTTTTTCTGTCATCAACTGTTAACTTGATACTTATGGAACTTCAAAGCACAAGCATTAGAGAGTTGCAAAAAGTTCGGACAGACAGCATTAATTTAAAAGAGCAATCGCTCCATTTTGACAGTTTTTTGAATGCTATTTTAGTTTTTCCTTTTTTGCATGCAATTTCCTGGTTTAAGACAACCTTGCGACAAAACTTTGCTCTCATAATAAGGTTTTGCATGCAAAGTGTCTCCAAAATAGGAAATAGGTCAATTCTTCTAATTCATTTTGTCTGTACTAAGACAAAAATAAATAGCTTTCAATAAATTTATCGGACTATGAGACAGTGAAATATATATTACAACCAAATTTTCAAAATTGCATTTAAATGTCAAAGAGCAAACCCAAATGATTAACATCTGAAAAAGCGCAGCGCAGTTTTTTGAACATAACTTCAAGCCCGTAACTTCAAAACAATCTGAATTTCAATTTTTCAATAAAGAACTTTAAAAAACGCCGACAAAAAGGCAAACGCTTAACTTCAGAGAACTATCAGACTCAGCTTGAATTTCATAATTATTTCAAAAAAGCCAATGCTGCCTCCAAACGAAAGTACTAAATAATATTGCGACTAAGATTTTTAAAAACCTCGTACTATCAACAATATCCTCGGCTTGTGTAAAACGATACTCAAATGGGTAAGCGAGCTAATCATGCAGATTCAATTAGATTACACGATCAGACAAAAAAGTGAGAGAATAATCATCAAATTATATACGTTCGTACAGCATCAGTTTTCAATAGTTAGCTTTCTCAGTAGTCATTAGCATTTTTGTATATCATTGCGTCCAAGTGTCGCTGGATGTTGTGGAATCGATCAGAGCCAGTGTAGTTGATATCCCCTCGCTCCCACTGGTCAGGAGTTGCAGCTCCACTTGCCTTGCCGCCTTCACTTCCATTAGTTTCGCTGCTCACAGGTGCGGAACTCTTGGGATATTCAGGCACGTCGACGCTGCCCTCTAGAATGAGATCAAGCAAAGCATAGCATTTTTTTTAAACTTTACTGTTCATACTGTTCATATATCTATTACTGTTTCCTAATAGTTGACCAATAACAGGCACAAGTGGGGATGCAGATTTAAAAATTAATCTTCGGAGTTTCGGCGTGAGGAACTGACCATACATCAAACGAGCTTTTTTTGTGATTTCCTAGCGTCAGATTAGTTGCCAAAAGAAACTACCAAACGTCACATTAACAAGACCAATTGGAACATACCTGGTTTCTTTTCGAAGAGGGGTTCCACATTGTGGTTGTAGACTTTCCACCAGGTCCTGATGAAAGGCTTGGTCGTCTGGAACATGTTGTCGGCCATACTTCCTCCGTACACATTGTCACTCTCCGCACTGTACCCGAAGTTCCAGGGCTTGCTCTGGCCCAGGAAGTGCACCACTTTCACTTCGGTTCCAAATCTCAGCAGCGCTGGTAAGTAGCTGTATGTCAAGTTTGCAGCCATGTTGTATATAAATGGTAGTCGTTTAGTGATATCTTTGAAAGCCCAGTCACTAAAGTAGGCATTCAAAAGTCCTTGATCTCCACCGTCGAAAGATCCTTCACTCTTGGCCAGCTCCAGGAGCTTTCCGTAAGTTTCCATGCTGGGTTTGTAGACAAAAACTCCGGTGTTGAACATGTCGGGCCAGCCGACATCTGGAGCTGCAGAAAACTCCTCGCGCTCGAACAGATCGTCTATGTTCTCTACAACCAAGGTATCCGCATCCATGAATACGCACTTGGTGTAGTGAGTCAAAGTCCAGCATTGCAGCTTGGTGAAGGTAACTCCTAATTCTGGTCTAGCCATCAGTGCAAGTCGAGTAGTGTCCCCGCTGTCCATCAATGAAACGTACACCAGTTCGTCAAAGGTCTTCTCCATGACAGCTTGCAGGGGCGGTTCCGGCTTGTATCCGATCATTATTACCAATTTCTTCGTCGTACCACAGTTGCGCAGCGACTGACCCCAAACCAACGCTCCTTTAGCATAGCTATCATTTGTGACTAGCGTAACGAAAGCTTCGTTCGTCATTGCAGATGAATTTATTGCAAGTTAATTCGGATTTAAAATCAGGTCAAGTCAAATCAAAGATAATGATTAATAATTTACAGCACGCAGCTCTCGAGGAGTGTGTGAGCTTGAATACGATATCTAAGAATGATATCTAATGCAAAAATTGGTAATTTGGCTTCGAATCGCAGATAACCAGATAGTAAAACACGATAACCAAACACTGACAGTTTACTCAACGTTTGGCTACTTGATTCGAATTTGGTACTAGAGCGATGAACAAACTAGAGCTAAGATATCGCTACAAGAAGTGCGGAAGGTCTACTGTGATCAAATAATTTTTCACGCAGATTAACTAAGAGCAACCTGCTTAAGACCAGTCAATAAAATAATGTCCTTAAACTATAGATTTGCAAAAAGTTGGAACAGACAAAATTAATAGAAAGAGCAAAGGACCTATAGAGAGTTCCAAAAAGTTCGGACAGACAGAAATAATTAAAGAGCAATCTGCCAATTTTGTCAATTTTTCCATGCAAATTTGAATTTTGGCGACATTGAGACATACTTTCTGTCTGAAAAATTAGCTTTTGCATGCAAGTTTTGTCTGAAAAAGGTCATTTGCTCTTTTTAAATATTTTTGTCTGTCTGAACTTTTTGCTACTAATTATAAAGAGAGCTGCAAAAAGTTCGGACAGAAAGAATTCATAAAAAAGAGCAATCGTTGCGTTTTGACAAACGTTTGCATGCTATTTAGACAACCTTGAGACACAAATTCGGTCTGATAATTTAAATTTTGCGTGCAAAATTTTTCCAAAACTAAATGCTCTTTTTAATTAATTTTGTCTGTTCGAATTTTTTGCTACTAATTTTATGAAATTTTACTACTAGAATGTGGACAAGCTTGACAAAAACCTGAGGGCATAAGTTGCAATGCGGACTGGGGGAGTTTTTTCCTAATTATGCGGGGCTTTCTGCTGAAAATAACCATTCAGCAAAATTTTTTGCTAAAATTAGGTTTTGACGGCCTTTCTAACACAAATGTACCCATCAACTTTAATTCATTTCATTGTCAATACTTTTTTTTTACCTTAGCAGAGCATATCTTCAATTTCAAAAAATTTTCTCCCAGATTATCTTTGGTTTGCCAAAAATGCTTGAATTATGCGGAATTCAGCAATTTCAAATTTGAGGTTTATCATGCGGTAATTATGCGCCGCAGATTTATGCCAAGCCTGAACGTTGAATTGTTAAAATGCTGAAAGCAAAAAAAATGTGTTGTACGTATAAAGGAAAAAAATACAGGCTCTCCATGTACAAAAAGCGTCGTACTACTTAACAAACGAATGGAAATAATGTTTGACTCAACAACCGGTGGTAGGCCAACAAGCCGGATGGCCAACAAACCGAAAATAACATTACCATTGCAACGGGCCGAAAAATTTTTTGTATGCAACAAACACATTGTCACTGTCATTACGCAATTTTTACGTAATTCTGATGTAATTTGCGTAATTCTGATGTAATTTCGGCTTCAAGACAGCCGAATAACCATTGAAAACTAACGTATGCTTCTCCTAGACAGGTGGAGAAGGACATTGTATTGTAAGCAACCAAAGAGTTTGACTGGAAAAATTGCCAACGAAGGTAGCCCAGAGTTAACGGATTAATTCGATCACACAGTTTTCAAGTAGAGAAAGCCAAGGCAAGCCCTTTTCTCAAAATGTTAATAAGAGAAGTACTTCAATTTTGACATTCAATTTTATATCACCGTCGAACGGCATTATAACAAAAACAAAAGCTCATAGCTTGGGTAGCAAGGCACAATCTTTGATAACTTATGAGTATTGAGAAATATTTGATAAAAACCAACGTTTGAAATTAGAAATGGTTGGCAATCAATTTTGTTCATTCCGATTAGGGCCATAACCTAGGTGAGTTCAAGGAAAGCTCCCCTCCGCCACCTCTCAAAAATTCAACCCGTTCATCACCCAGAGCCCCCATTGGCTCTCTTCTAAGACATCTTTAGAAGTGCAGCGCGCTACAAAAAACTTCCAAAAAGAGACCAGAATGGCATTTTAGAAATTTTTCAGAATAGCCTATGGCACAAACCTTACCGCAAATATAGGGTTTCTTCTAAAGTTCCAATTATCAATTCATCGTCGATTTAAAAAGACAAATATTACACACATGAGATGATGAAACGGAGTAAAATAACCGACAGGACGTTTTTTAAGAAGGTTTTGATTTAAGATGGCGCGCGCTTCTCCAAAATTAATATATTTTGACGCCAAGTACCAAAGTGAGACCCTTTGGGTGCTGATAGGTTCCCCCTTTGGAACTAAAGGGTACTCTTTTGATACTAAAGGGAGATCCTTTCGGTGGTGATGGGGTGATAAGGAGAAAAAGGTAGAAATGAATAAGTTAACTGACCTTTTTCTTGTCGCGATTTTCATTGGTGAATGGGTCCTCTTCCTGCATGAATTTCTCAGTCTCTATCTCATCACCTCCTTCACAAATAGTCTTCTTCTTACACATATCATAGATGAGAGTCATCCTGCGTCTAGGGTTGCTCTTCGTCTTAGACAGGATGTCCTGTACAGCTGCGCTGTCCTGAAAACAAAGTAAAAATCATACAAAGTTTGTGACTTTCGACCATTTCCATTGAGAGCGAACTTCATGCACTTGCAATACAAATAAATGCTAAGAACCTTGAAGGAGTGCGATCTGTAAGACGACAACCGCGTATTCACACTCGTCAGTCAGTAGAAAAATACTGTATTGGTCATTCAGAATCGAGATAAGTGAAGAAATTAATAACTCATAATTATATACTTCAAACGTTTGCTTTCCTATCTCCATTCTGATTGCTTATTAAAGCATTTATCTACTACCTGCCGAGTATGAATACGCGGTTGTTTACTTACTGCTACCTAATCAATCCTAAGAAAAAATTGACTATGAAAAACAAAGCCACCATCTTTAAATTTTGAGTTTCAAATTAAATACAATGAAATTCTCTGAATTTCACGAACTTTTTATGATCGGCCTTATATGTATGAAACTTAAAACATTTGAGAACCTTGAATCTTACGGTAAATTTTTATTCTACTGCAAAATTGAAAATAAAAACGCTCTTTTGTTTTGGAGAGAGGAAATTCTTCCTTTCTTTTGTTAATAAATTAATTCGAATTTTAAAACATAGCCAACTGACAGATGGAAAAGATAATCAACGCAATGAAACTGAAACAAAAACTGACTAGTTTTTTCAAAAATCTTCAATTTTTGAAATTCGAAGAAAAAAAGATGGCCTTAAAGCTCTTTAAATTTGTAGATTATTTTATGATGGACACTTTTTTGTCAAAATTAACACAATTCAGAAAACTGGATCAATAGGCAAAACTTTCATTTCACTAGGAAATCTGATAATTAATTTCCATTTTCGAAACTAGAAGTCGATCACGTTTTTCGTGAGATTTACAATTTTGCTGTTCGATAGTGGATTTTGCCTTCAATTTAACAATGGAAAAGCACCGCAATTAAAAAGAAATCTCAAGTCAAACCGCGAAAAAACAAAACTGAGCGTGAACAAATTTTAAAATTTTTCCTGAAAAAAAATCAGCTTTAAAACACATAGGCGAAGCGAAGCTTCGCACCACTTGCGATACAACCCAAACAAAGCAGCCGGTAGAAATTGAGTTAAAACTACAAAAACCGTAGCCAAAGAAATTTCACATAACAAAAAATTTCCTATTTATGTATCAAATAAAATTCCTTTTCAACAAATTATGCCCAGTTAGACATTTGAATGTTCAATTAGCATCAATAAAATTTTTCAGAGCGGTAACGAAGCCGAAAATTCTTAAGCAGATAGGTTGAGTAAAAAAAACTTCAGACGACTGAAAAACTGATTGTCTAAAATGGGAGTTGGCAAATGTTCAAGTAAAATAAAATACAAATTTCGACACAGAGGCGAGGCTGCAACTTCACAAACACGAGCGAGAAATCGGCAAAGATACAGGAGGTTCGAATTCCAAAAAAACTCAATTTTTGGATACTAATTTGAAATGTAGTAAACTTTGCATGTAATAAATTAGAATGTATTGAAACAAATTGCGTATAAATATTCATTTCAGAAATCTCGCGAAGTATATCTCGCTCAAAAATTTCCGAACAAGATTTCAATTATTATACTAAGCCACTGTCCACAGGATTCATCATGCTACGTTGACGTGGCAGGCTTTCAACGACGGTCTTGAGAAAGCCACAGCGAATTGGGCGGCGAATCAGTATCCACCTTCTTTTTACTCCCCCATTGTTCGTGCCAATGCCTAGAAGATTTTGGAGACGAGCGTCAACACACTGCAGAAGGCTGCATGCAAAACGTAGAGAAGCGCCGTCGTCTTGCAGTATAGAGGTCGTGGGTCTCACAAGTTCTCCAAACGCCTCAGCAGCTACCGGAGTCTCAGTTATCATCACTACGAGGAAGCTGAAATCCTGTCTGCACTAATTGAAGTGTCCCATTCCAGAGGAACTCAGTAGTCGGGTTCTTTATCAACTCACGTGTACAGGTTGCAAAGCCTGCTATGTCGGCCAAACCAGCCGGCATTTTAAAACCAGACTACAGGAGCACCGAAGGGCCGGCTCACCTGTTGGTGCCCACCTGCGAGAGTGCGGAGACGATAATTTTTCACCGGATTTGCAGTGCAAGATTCTGGACAGGAGCATTGACACCCAGAAATTGCTAGGTCTCGAAGCCCCCTACATCTCGAGGAAAGCTCCAGCCCTAATCAGTGAGGAGTACCGGCAGCGCCAGCTAACGCTGCGCTTCTAATCTATTTGTTGTATTAACGTTTCATGTCAACTCAAATTGTGCTTTTTTATTGTCTGATTTTATGTGGTTTTTTATTGTTTACGATGTTGGTTGTTTTTTCTTTCAGTTGTTCTGATGATGTCTTAATTAACGAAAACGTTCAAGCATTGATACTTGGTTTTTTCTCGTGTGTTAACTTATTAATAATCAAATGCCAAGACACACAAATATACTGCTAATGCAGCCTACTAATTCAAAAGTGCCACCAAACGGAGCATTTTTATTTGCGACTTAAGTTCGTAAAAAAATTACATAGTACTATCACACTAAACTATGCTCGTGTAAAGAGAACGGGCACGTAAATCGCAGACATGCTCACAATTTGTTTGTTAGTTGACGGAAGAACAGATAAATGACCATAAGTTTCAGGCATCTTGTGAACAAAGTTATTTAACGGGAAAAAAGTCTATCACCCGGTTGCAATACCGTTGCTTATCACAAGAGTAACCATAGGTCAAAGTGCTAAAACATGAAATTGAGCATGAAAAGAAAATCAAACTACCACACGGCAAAAAGAGTGAAACTTCACTTGTTCGTTAACACTAATTAATTAAAACGTTTCATCGACAAAGAATGAACTGAGCAGATCTCAACTAAAATTGCTATTCGTGACTATTGGAGAATTTGTCGAAAATAAAATAATAAGCAAAGGAATTGATTACAATTAATTGTTCAGTCAAAGTTTTTCTTACCGAATTCTGACTTAACTTATGGCAACTTTGAAAAGCCAAAAGAAAAACAATCGAAAACCGTTCAATCAAAACATTGATCGGATCTCAGATCAAGTTAACAACCTCCTCCAAAAGATATGCTCGGTTAAGATCCAGCGTTAAATTTGACTAAGTTTGCTAAGCGCTGCGTCTACAATGCTCGATTCTGTTTATCACAAGAGTAACCATAGGTCAAATTTTAAATCATAGCCAACTGACAGATGGAAAAGATAATAAACGCAATGAAACTGAAACAAAAACTGACTAGTTTTTTCAAAAATCTTCTATTTTTGAAATTCGAAGAAAAAAAAGATGGCCTTAAAGCTCTTTAAATTTGTAGATTAATTTATGATGGACACTTTTGTCAAAATTAAGACAATTCAGAAAACTGGATCAATAGGCAAAACTTTCATTTCACTGGGAAATGTGATAATTAATTTCCATTTTCGAAACTAGAAGTCGATCACGTTTTTCGTGAGCTTTACAATTTTGCTGTTCGATAGTGGACTTTGCCTTCAATTTAACAATGGAAAAGCACCACAATTAAAAAGAAATCTCAAGTCAAACCGCGAAAAAACAAAACTGAGCGTGAACAAATTTTAAAAATTTTCCTGAAAAAAAATCAGCTTTAAAACACATAGGCGAAGCGAAGCTTCGCACCACTTGCGATACAACCCAAACAAAGCAGCCGGTAGAAATTGAGTTAAAACTACAAAAACCGTTGCCAAAGAAATTTCATAACAAAAATTTTCCTATTTTTGTCTCAAATAAAGTTCCTTTTCAACAAATTATGCCCAGTTAGACATTTGAATGTTCAATTAGCATCAATCAAAACTTTCAGAGCGGTAACGAAGCCGAAAATTCTTAAGCAGATAGGTTCAGTAAAAAAAACTTCAGACGACTGAAAAACTGATTGTCTAAAATGGGAGTTGGCAAATGTTCAAGTAAAATAAAATACAAATTTCGACACAGAGGCGAGGCTGCAACTTCACAAACACGAGCGAGAAATCGGCAAAGATACAGGAGGTTCGAATTCCACAAAAACTCAATTTTTGGATACTAATTTGAAATGTAGTAAACTTTGCATGTAATAAATTAGAATGTATTGAAACAAATTGCGTATAAATATTCATTTCAGAAATCTCGCGAAGTATATCTCGCTCAAAAATTTCCGAACAAGATTTCAAGTATTATACTGTTGTATGAAAAGTAAATAGCTTTTTTTTCTGTTCAATTGATGAGTTAAAGAAGCATCAATTGTGTTATTTTAGGAGAGATTGACGGAGCCTGGCCTTTTCTCGACATCTTGGTGACGAGAGCAAATGGTAGGTTTCAGACGTCCTGTTACTCTAAGCCCACGGACACAGGGCTGTCGTTGAGCTACCATGCAGTTGCTCCAAACAAATACAAGCGGAACATCGTCTAAGCCACTGTCCACAGGATTCATCATGCTACGTCGACGTGGCAGGCTTTCAACGACGGTCTTGAGAAAGCCACAGCGAATTGGGCGGCGAATCAGTATCCACCTTCTTTTTACTCCCCCATTGTTCGTGCCAATGCTGAGAAGATTTTGGAGACGAGCGTCAACACACTGCAGAAGGCTGCATGCAAAACGTAGAGAAGCGCCGTCGTCTTGCAGTATAGAGGTCGTGGGTCTCACAAGTTCTCCAAACGCCTCAGCAGCTACCGGAGTCTCAGTTATCATCACTACGAGGAAGCTGAAATCCTGTCTGCACTCATTGAAGTGTCCCATTCCAGAGGAACTCAGTAGTCGGGTTATTTATCAACTCACGTGTACAGGTTGCAAAGCCTGCTATGTCGGCCAAACCAGCCGGCATTTTAAAACCAGACTACAGGAGCACCGAAGGGCCGGCTCACCTGTTGGTGCCCACCTGCGAGAGTGCGGAGACGATAATTTTTCACCGGATTTGCAGTGCAAGATTCTGGACAGGAGCATTGACACCCAGAAATTGCTAGGTCTCGAAGCCCCCTACATCTCGAGGAAAGCTCCAGCCCTAATCAGTGAGGAG